AATGACCCCCTTTCCCTTCCCCCTACCCACGAGTGGGCGAGTCTCCCCCCTCTGTCTCTCCCCCCCCTAACTTTCCCATCTTTTCTCCCCCAAACGACGTCAAATCTCCCCAGAAACACCCGCGAAGGATGCACATCCTCCCCAGCCCAAACATCCGGCTGGTCACCCAGTATAAACATCCTCTTGCTCCTCCTCTCTCTCTCCTCTCTTCTCTTCCTCTGTATATTCACCCTTCTCTTTCTACCTCATTTCCTCCACTTTTTTTAAGATTTTATTGTAATTTCTTCTTTCGTCACGTCGATATATGCTCCCTGCTTCTGTGGTTGTTCCTCTCTTCTCTTTCAAATTATTACCGCTACTTAATCACTGGCGCCAGCAGACTCACCCACCACTCCCTGGCGCCAATAGGCATCCATGCACCTTCCATGGCGACAGTAGGGGGTCTACGGTCCTTCCCAGCGCCAGCAGACACCCTCCCATCCATCCTGGAACCACCAGGCATCTTTCAACCCTTCCTGGCGCCAGAGGGTGCCGTCACACCATCCATGGCGCCGGTAGAACCCCCTCCCCTATCCTTCCACCCTCCCCGGCGCCAGATGACAGCCTCCCACCCTCCCCGGCGCCAGATGACAGCCTCCCACCCTCCCCGGCGCCAGATGACAGCCTCCCACCCTCCCCGGCGCCAGATGGCAGCCTCCCACCCTCCCCGGCGCCAGATGACAGCCTCCCACCCTCCCCGGCGCCAGATGACAGCCTCCCACCCTCCCCGGCGCCAGATGACAGCCTCCCACCCTCCCCGGCGCCAGCAGACAGCCTCCCACCCTCCCCGGCGCCAGAAGACAGCCTCCCACCCTCCCCGGCGCCAGATGACAGCCTCCCACCCTCCCCGGCGCCAGCAGACAGCCTCCCACCCTCCCCGGTGCCAGAAGACAGCCTCCCACCCCTCCCCGGCGCCAGCAGACACCCTCCCACCCTCCCCGGCGCCAGCAGACACCCTCCCACCCTCCCCGGCGCCAGAAGACAGCCTCCCACCCTCCCCGGCGCCAGATGACAGCCTCCCACCCTCCCCGGCGCCAGCAGACACCCTCCCACCCTCCCCGGCGCCAGCAGACACCCTCCCACCCCTCCCCGGCGCCAACAGACACCCTCCCCGGCGCCAACAGACACCCTCCCCAGGCGCCAGCAGACAGCCTCCCACCCTCCCCGGCGCCAGCAGACAGCCTCCCACCCCTCCCCGGCGCCAGCAGACACCCTCCCACCCTCCCCGGCGCTAGCAGACAGCCTCCCACCCTCCCCGGCGCCAGCAGACACCCTCCCACCCTCCCCGGCGCCAGCAGACACCCTCCCACCCCTCCCCGGCGCCAACAGACACCCTCCCCAGGCGCCAACAGACAGCCTCCCCCGGCGCCAGCAGACACCCTCCCCAGGCACCAGCAGTCAGCCTCCCCCGGCGCCAGCAGACAGCCTCCCCGGCGCCAACAGACACCCTCCCCAGGCGCCAGCAGACAGCCTCCCACCCTCCCCGGCGCCAGAAGACAGCCTCCCACCCTCCCCGGCGCCAGAAGACAGCCTCCCACCCTCCCCGGCGCCAGCAGACAGCCTCCCACCCTCCCCGGCGCCAACAGACACCCTCCCCAGGCGCCAGCAGACAGCCTCCCACCCTCCCCGGCGCCAACAGACACCCTCCCCAGGCGCCAGCAGTCAGCCTCCCCCGGCGCCAGCAGACAGCCTCCCCCGGCGCCAGCAGACAGCCTCCCCCGGCGCCAACAGGCAGACACTACTCACCTCAAACACAGGTGAAGGCTCGGGCGTCGGAAGGTCGGGGACGTCGCTCACATCAAGCTCGATCTCCTGAAACACAGCCAACACCTGTCAGTCCACACCTGTGTTGTGGGGGGGGGGGGCGTCATGTGTGTGTTTACCAGGTGTATCTGCAGAATCGAGCTATTAGCTCTTGGGATCCGCCTTTCTAACGTGTATTATTTTGTCTTCTACATATATTTCTCCGATACATGCACACACATCCCCAGGAAGTAGCCCATAACAGCTGTCTAACTCCCATTAACTTATTTACTGCTAGGTGAACAGGTGCATCAAGGTGAATGAAACTGTCCATTTTTTTTAATTATTGTTACTGTTATCCCCTGCATAGCAGTGGATTCTGCCTGTTCCTTTCGTTTTCAATTCTGTTGTATTCTGGTTGATACCTGGTTGATACCTGGTTGATGGGGTTCTGGGAGTTCTTCTACTCCCCAAGCCCGGCCCGAGGCCAAGGCTTGACTTGTTGTATTCTTTTGTTGTATTCTGCAACATTACCCATCAACAACAAGAATTGCCAACAATGCGTGCCAAAAAGTATTCTCTAGCCTCTCCTACTTCCACCTCCCTACCTCCCCTGAGAGGACTCGCGGGCTCCAATTTACCCCCAGCAAACTACTACCTACATTGCGGGTTCCTCGACTACGACCCAGCTCCGCGCCAGTGTGACGTCACCGCCCAT